CATTGTCACAGCCAAAGACACCAGGCTCCAGAGAGGAAGTTTTAAATTTTGTGTCTACTCTTTCCTACCTATTAGGATGTTGGCCCTCTTTCCTTTATCTGTGCTCACTTAAGTTTATTCAAACTTGAAAGAAACTTGATGAGTCAGTATTCTGAGGTAAATCACAATTAGTTAGGTCTCTGTAATAATGGGAACAGTTCACCAACCTTCATTTGGGCCCCCACTATAGTAGCTGCATAATTTATTAGCGATAAGGAGGCAGATCAGTGCAAAGCTTAATGTTTTGAAAATGAAAATCATCTGCAATGTTGATAGATCTGTAAAAAGTCCTCTATTCTCCTGTTCAATTGAAGTTAGGAATGTTTTTTCAGATTCAGTTTTTTATATCATGTTATTGAGATGTAATTTTTAAAAATTTCAGAATTATTCCTGAACACTAACATTATATCTGTACTATATTCATCAAGTTGGATGTAAAAAGATAAATTAAATATAAAGATTTTGGGGGTGTATAAATAAAAATACCAAGTCAAAACTTTTAAATTAGAAATTATAAAAATAAGCTGCCCAAATCATCAGAAAAAAAGGAGACAAAGAGAAAAATCCAAGCAATATAAAGGCAAAAAAATGAAACGATGAGAAAAGGAGGAGAAACATACACATTAATATGCTAGACTTGCTTTGCTTAGACCAGTGATGGTGAACCTATTTCAGAGGTTTCAATGATACAGCCTGCGAAGCACGTAAGCCACAGGTTCACCCACTGGCCTAGACAATGCTTGATGACTGCTTTCTGACTATACTTAATCTACAGACTCAATGAAACTACAGTATTTTCATTAGCATTGGATCACTTTGCCTACATGCAGCTTATTTTGCGACTACTGAAACAGACAGTTTAAGCAATTTGTTGAAGAAAGGCCTTCGTGTATAATATTATCTTGGGAGTTTCAAGTGCTGACTGACTGCCTCCTATGTCGGAAATAAGCTTTTGCTGACAGTATCAATTCCTCCAGCTTAATGTGAGTACACTTTAAAACCAGAACTGCATAACAAAGACAAAATTTTAAAACTCCAAATACTAGCATTTTTGTTTGTATTAACTTACTTCTTTCACAGGAAACTAGTTTATTCCTCTCTCTGAAAGTAGAGAGGAACAGATATGATCTCCTGACCTCATTAAGATAAAGACACAGTGCTGGAAAAGTGAGCCCCGCTTTATCATTTATAAATCTAGGGCAGGTCAGCATTTTCTACCTAGTTTCTATGTGCAAACCATTACTGTATCTTAAGATGAAAACATGGAAATGCAAGGATAACTGTAGCCTGTAAATGAACCGACGTGCACACACACACACACACACACACACACACACACACAGGCACGCTGTGACACCCTCGTGCCCAAGATAAATGAATAAGATTGGCTGAACAGCCCCCTGTACCTTTAGCACCAGTGGCTACTAAACATCTGGACTAGTTAATATGTACATTTACCCACATACACAAACATTTGTAGCCATCAGCTTCATCTGTAACAGGAGGGCGCTGGATTAAATGATCATTCGATCTTGCTGGTCCTGCTTTTACAATGTACTGAGACCTTCTCTATTTATACTTCCCAGCTACGAATTTTCATGGTTATGAGTAAAGCCGAGAGTAGATATACCTCAACTCTATTCTCCACTGCAGTATTGGTGATTACTTGTATTATTTTTGTCGCTGATTGAGTTTATTGGTACATTTTAGGGATACAGTACAGTTACATTCATTGTTTTGTCGCTGAGAGAAAACACATGTAAAGCTATGATAAAAAGTAAAAAAACTGCTTCACATGAATCCTTGATAAAATGATTTGACAAGAGAAGCTATGTTGAAGGACAAAGAGAAAATTCTCCATTGAAAAAAAGGACTCTGTGCAAATAAGAAATGCCAAAAGGGCCAGGGATTTAGCTCAGTGGTCCTGTCGCTTGCCTGTGAGCACAAGGACCCGAGTTTGAGTCCCCATACAAAAAGAAAAAGAAAGAAATGACAAAGACTGATAAAAACAGAAAACCTTGTGAATACTGGGTACTGGACATGATATAAACCCTGGCTTTTTGCTGGAGTTGTTAGGACTTTAAAAAAACAACCAATGCCGCCAAATTCAGGCTATGCATAGTTTCTCAAAATTCCTTGAATGTTTTTAGTTTCAAACAGAATTACGCACACTTTACTAATGGATCAGAATCCTCCAACACAGCAGTTTTCAAAGTGAAGTTCAATGAGCTCTTCCATGAGTTCATGAGGTCAAAACTATTTCTATAATACTGAGAAGATACAATCCTTTCTACTGCAATATGACATTCACTGTTAAAGCAAGAGAAATTTCAGCAATAGAATTATCACCTAATCTTTCCTTCATGTTTTTCCTCTTGAAACTCCAGGGGAGTGCATGGCATCATTCCTAGTAGAAAGGGCAGTTTCTTGTTTATTGGGGATTGAACTCAGGTCCTTGTGCTTGCAAGGCAGACAGTGGAATCACTAAGCCAAATGCCCCACCCAGGCACAGGTTTTGGTGACAAAAGTAGCTGTTAAGTTCATATCTTAGCTTGACTTCATGAGCCACATGATGTTGGACTTAACTTTTTTCATAGGTAAAATGTAGTCAATATCTCTTTAACGAAATGGTGCCCAAGGTTTTTTTCTTAAGAGTACTTAAAAACAAATCACGGAAGACTAGTTTATTCCTCTCTCTGAAAGTAGAGAGGAACAGATATGATCTCCTAACCTCATTATGATCAAGACACAGTGCTGGAAAAGTAAGCCCCAGTAGAGGTTAAAAAAACCAAGAATCTAAAGCAGTATCTAGGAACAAATATTCAGCCCAAATTCCTGTCTGCACTACCAGTTGCTTATATATCCTTCCACAGCCATTGCAGACATAGAGAAATATGCACACAGTCAGCCCCAGTTATCTGTGTGTTCCACATCTTTAGATACAACCAATCATGCACTGAAAATATTGGGAGAATAAATGCACATCTGCAGAACAATCCTTTTTTTCCCTTGTTATTCCTTAAACAATATACTGTATTTATATAGCATGTACATTATATTAGGTATAAATAATGTAGAGATGACTTAAAGTACACAGGAGGATGTGTACAGGTTATACACAAAAGCTATGCTGTTTTATATGAGGGGATTGAACAGCCATATATTTTGGTCCTTGGGAAAGTCCTCGAACAATTCCCCCATGTAAGATAAAGGAACACTGTATGTTTGAGGGGGAAAAAAAATCACTATTTTACTCACAGTTCTGTTATATTTCTATTATCCACAGGAAGATTATTTGGTATGTGGCATTTGAGGTAAGAATGAGTCCTGGTTTCACTACCTGGTAAGTGCACGATCCCAGGTAAGTTACTTTCCTTGGACTTCTCTTCCTTTACCTGTAATTATCTGCTCAGTTGTTGTGAGCTTAAAATGAGACAATAAACGTAACTTGATCTTTTGAACAGAGGCTGCTACATAGCAAGTGATATATGGAAGTTATTATGGGAAAAATGAGCACGGCAAGGCAGTTTAAACACTGTTGACCTTAAAACCTTGTCTTGCTTTTACACGGTGCCAGGTGACAGGATGATGAAAAAAGGAACGTATCCAAGACTGGTACTTTGAGAAAAATAGTATAATATGATTTTGGCTTCTGGGAAAGGTATTTAAGAATTAAGAGTGAGTCTTCCAACTTTTTAAAAGATGAAAAATGTGGAAATTTTCTAAGTTAAATAACAGCTTAAAAAAAATAACTCTGAAGAACACATGCATACCATCCCGTGGTAAGTGGAAAAAGAAGCTGAAATGCAAAACAAAATCCTTACCAAGAGAAGGAGTAATATGCCAATAAATATCCCCTCCTTTATCAGGTGGAAAACTCGCCCAGGTAAGGCAAATGTGACTTATGCCTAAAAACAATCAAAGTAGCTGGCAGAAAGTAGGCAAGACTGATAAAGAGTGATCCTGGGTTCAACAGCAATTTCTGGGAATACAAATTTTTCACCACAGAAACGCTTGTCTTTGATGGGGGCGGGGGCAGGGTTGTTTTTGAGATTATAAATAAGAAGCAGTCTTTCCCTATTTGCTCGTAAAAACAGAACTGGGTACACTGGCTTCATAAATTCACCTTGAGGGCCCGTGCAGTCTGCTGGCACTCACCATAACAAGGGTAAAATGAGTTTAGATAGCGCCTGAGATTTTATCACTACCAACTATTACAACCATCCCCAGCCACGCCCGGTTTTCCTGTACTCATGGCCTGGAAATCTCCTCTGCGATTTTGTGACTCAGGAGTTCAAGCTATTCTGAGAAGGCCTAAAGTACCACAGGAACCTACAGTACACAGAATGGACACGTCCACGCGTGAGGCGCAAAGGGAGATGTGGAAGGCCGGAGGCAGGCATGGTTAGAAGTACGCTAAGACAGAAACCGCCTTTGCGGAGCGCTCCACCCATAAAAGCGAAAAACAGCATCTCTAGGGTTGAGAGAATGATGTGAGAGGGGCCCAGGAAAGGCCACTGATCCCACCGGTGACCCTGAAGCTGATGCTTCAGCAGCACCTGGGCCAAGCAGGTAGGGCGAGGAAGGAGGGTGGCGGTAGAGCAGCTTCAGAGTCTCACAGGGTCGAGGCCCCGCGATGACCTACGCATCCAACGGGTTAGTCAAACTCGTGCACTTCTCCCGCTCTGGGCGGCCGGGGTCCCTTCGGGATGCGCATCCCGGGTCCCCCGCACGGGCACGCTAGGACCGCAGGACCCTGGGCCT